GTGAGTGTGTGTGTGTTTGTGTGAGTGTGAGTGTGTGTGTGTTTGTGTGAGTGTGAGTGTGTGTGTGTGTGTGAGTGTGTGTGTGAGAGTGTGTGTCCAGATCAAATATTTTTGGCACAGAAAAATGCAAAAATAACCAATTTCCCCTTGATAATAAACATGATGAGTACCGTTAAAGCCTTGCTTTTTTTTAGCGAAGTGCAACTTGTATATATCAGTTAACATCTCAAATATTGTGTTTTAGGGTTTCTATCTGTGGCATGACATGCACTAATGTGTTCCGAATCATTCATGCATGTGAAAATGGGCTGAGAATTGAACAAACTGTTGTAATCTGACTCAAATTCAGACAGGAATCATGTGTTTGTGATGCTTTTCTGCCGATTAAGTGATAATACAAGACTTACAAGACAAAAAATGCACCAATTTTGTAAGAAAGTGTGACGTGATCCAGCAGAACAGACACAGTTTTTGGAATAAGCACACAATATTAATAAGAAACAAGTGTTCATTCAACATATGGTTTAAGTGAGACGTGTTTTCTGAAAGGTGGAGCTCAACCGGACGTACCGCATGCACGCCATCCAGAAAACAGTGGGCAGCTCCATCTACATTAACTCTCGCAGCGTGTTTCTGCGCAAGGACCTGAAGGAGGGCCGCTATGTCATCGTTCCCACGACCTTTGACCCCGGCCTGCAGGGAAACTTCCTGTTGCGCATCTTCACAGATGTACCTGCTGCCTGCAAGTAATATGTCAGAAATATATATATTATTAGTGCTGTCAAACGAGTAATCGCGATTAATCGCATTCAAAATAAAAGGTTTTGTTTGCATAATATATGTGTGTGTGTGTACTGTATATATTTACATTTACATTTAGTCATTTAGCAGATGCTTTTATCCAAAGCGACTTACAAACGAAGACAATAGAAGCAACCAAAACCAACAAAAGAGCAACAATATGTAAGTGCTATAACAAGTCTCAGTTAGGTTTTTTTTTAATTGTATTTATGTATTATTATTTACAATTTTTTTTTATTTGTATATTTAGATACGCATACAGTATATATTTTGAAAATATTTTCATGTATAAATTTATATTCATTCATGTAATTGATATGTGACCCTGGACCACAAAACCAGTCATAAGGGTCGATTTTTGGAAATTGATATTAATACATCATCTGAAAGCTGAATAAATAAGCTTTCCATTGATGTATGGTTTGTTAGGATAGGACAATATCTGGCTGAGATGCAACTATTTGAAAATCTGGAATCTGAGGGTGCAAAAAAATCTAAATATTGAGAAAATCATCTTTAAAGTTGTCCAAATGAAGTTCTTAGCAATGCATATTACTAATCAAAAATTAAGTTTTGATATATTTACGGTAGGAAAATATCTTCATGGAACTTGATCTTTACTTAATATCCTAATGATTTTTGGCATAAAAGAAAAATGGATAATTGTGAACCCATATAACACTGCTTTTGTGCTCCAGGGTCACATATTATAATTTTCTTAAATATATACATAGTAAATATACACAGTACACACACATATATTATGTAAAGAAAAACTTTTATTTTGGATGGGATGAATCTCCATTAAGCGTTTGACAGCACTATATATTATACAGTAGTCTTTTGTTTGCGTCATGGATTATGGCTGTATTGATGCAGACTGTGTGGTGTTTAGGGAGCTGATGACAGACGAGCCGCCTCACACCTGCTGGACAGGGTGCTGTGGGTATCCCAAGCTGGTCTCACAGGTGCATGTCCACAGAGCAGATGGACTCCAGGCTCAGGACTCAGATGGAGGTGAGTCATGTTGTGTTCTCTCTGTTTCTTTACACAACAAACCCCTCACAGAAATGCTCTGGAGAACAGCATCTACCAGATATGATCTAGATATGAGCTAGTTTTCACTAACAATCTGATCTGACATGTTCATGATACACGTGAGACATCCGAGGTTATAAAATGGAAATGAAAAAAATCTATTTCAAGATTTGCAATGGCCAAATCTTTAGGAATGTAATCTTTATTATTATTATTATTATTATAGTGTTTGTTATAACACAGTCATGATGTTTTATAAAACGGAGAGTTCCGGTGCTTGATTCTGATTGGCTGAGCCATGTTCTAAGTTGTTGTAAATTACTCTACAAACATACACCTTTGTTTACGTTTGTGTGTTGCTCGGCAACCACTTTGTTGCAACCACAACTGTTTCTGAGGAGCTACATTGTTTGGTGGAAGAATAATGTTTTTATTAATATCATTACACTTTATTTGCTCTGTTTTATTCTGTGAAATCTTACTACGTATATGGAATAACCGTTTTATAAAAGCAAGAAGCCCCGTGAAGCCGTGGTTTACAGTGAATTTATAACAGCTAAGGGGCGTTG